AGACCCTGCTCCCCCAACTCATCATCGTGAGCATAGACAGGCCTCATCGCTGGCTGGTGTTTTCGTATGAAGAAGTCTTTAAATGTCTTGTTTGCCATCAGCAGCTCGCAGTGTTGGCGTCATGTGGGTATAAACCGGGTAGGCTTCAATACTGGCAGGTTCGAATTCATCCATATTGATGTGGTAGAAATCAACAAAGCCGCGGATCTTAGTCTTGGAGAGTGGTGTCCGTTCGCTGATACCTGCGAAAACCGTCAGGATGGTGGCCAACTTCGAAAGAGAGGCGAGAGCTTCACCAAAATCTAGGGTCTTCTTGCGTAATCGTGAACGTCTGGCTTCTGTATTATTGACTGGGCCAATGCAAGATGCAGTTAATAACTATCAAATAAAGCACTCCAAACGAGATATGCTTGGCGTTTCCGTCACTCGCTCCATTCCGTCAAAGGGTTAAATAGCAACAAGAGTTTTATTTTCCACCATAGCGGCTACTATTCGTGCAAAAACCGACCAGTCTATTCATCCGTGTCAGCTCAAAGAACTCTTGACTCTATCACAAATCAACTGACCTTTCAATCTAGCATGCGCCAGCCTACTTCCCTGTTTTGAACCTGTGATCTTTTCAGCGCCCAATTCAGTAAGAGCATCGCGCTCTACGAAGCAGGGATCAGACTCCTATCAATTGACATATTCCCATTAAAGAGTCCAGAAACCGATGCATAAGACCCCAAAGACTGACAGCTACAATCATGTTCAACTGCTATGCTGGCCCGCTGCTGATGCGGGAATGGAGAAATGTAGTTATGGTTGAACGCGGATATCAAGCAGCAAAAATCCGGGACTTGGGGGCCCTCCTATTTGTCTTAATATACCCATAAAACTGATCTCTTTGTCGCGCAGGACCCAGCCCACCAACCAGCGTGCAAATGACGCAACATAGAAGAGCAGGTTCATGATGGCTATGTCTCGTACCTCTAAGCTCGATCGCCACACCGTGCTCCATTGAGGCGTCTCTAGTCAATTTTTACGACCAACGAAGTTTAACGCATTTCGTGGCTCCCGAGCCCTCGTAATTGTGCCATACAGGCGTTTACCTCCAAAGAGGCCGTGGCAGTGCTCGCGGCACTCACTAATTATGATATCATGATCATGATACAACTGCAGTCTGCAATGAAAGATCACCTGCTGCACGAAGGGCACACCTTAGCTGAGCCTCCCAAATTCAATGATTGATTCAGGTCGCTCACCTTCAACAGGTGTGGTTATCAGGCCACTGCTGCTGCACAGTCAACTCGTTGTGGCTAGGCGAGCCCATCCACGATAGCTTGAACTCACGGCGCCATTGCATTTTCCACCGACATGTTAGTTTGGCCAAAACGGCGCCCGACTGCTGCAGTAGATATGATACCCAATACCGAGTGACGAATCAATATGGCTTGGCCAGATCAACGCGTGGAAGAGGCGGCTAAATCAATGCAGAGCAATCCCGTTCCTTAATCGTCAGCTTTTACACAGCTTTAAGTTTATCGAACTCCATGGCAACTTGTGACTTCCTCTATATAATCTCTTGCGGATTCGGCCCCGCCGTGACGAAATTCAATTCTAGCATCAATACTGGATCTTGCTTAAGCTGCCTTCCTAGAGTTGGGCGATAAGTAACAAGAAATTCATATATTAAAGAATCCCGAACGGCTGGACAACAAAGTTTGTCGAGCTTTATCGGCGTGAAGTATCCGGCAACTTCATCCTATGTCTGCAATCGCTACGGCAGTAACTAGGCCATTATTGAGCTTATCACTGCCCTCCTAGGTGGGGAGGGATGAATAGTGAGATAACTTAAGGCATGAAGCAGGCCTTAGTAGACTTTAGCGGTGGTTCGACAGACCTTATCGAAACTGCCTCGTCTCCTTATCACACCAGTCCCAAAACTTTCCTGCCTCACCCGTACCTCCATCCTCTTTTGACCTTAAGGCAGCAATGAGATCAGCTCTCAGGGTATCTGTACCAATCCTACCCCAAGGATAGATATACGCTCCATTATTCTCTAAAGTGAGATCTGGAGACCAACCAGCATACAGCTCCGTATACGCCCCGTACACGGCCGGGTAGAGCAGTATACGTGTCAAAAGATTGAGAAGTGTGCCAACTTCTCGTTGCAACTCTGATTTCAGATTCCCCGGATTCCAAGCATTGCTGACAATGCCGTCTCTGCCATATCTGCGAGCGAACTCGGCGGCCAAGAACCAGCAACCTGCTTTAGATATGCCGTAGTTCGTATGCACATCCCCGACTTTAGGGCTGCCGTCAGCCTCGAATTCGATGCCGTGCCTGGGTGCTGCGAATACGGCAGCCAGTGATGACGCCCAGGTCACCCTGATCGACCCCGGTGGGGATGACACGGCTGTCCTGCGGAGGACGGGGAGGAGAAGCTCGGAGAAGAGGAATGGGCCAAGGCAATTAGTGCCGAGGTGTATGTCATGGCTTTGGGCGTCCTTTCTGTCTGTTTCTATGACCATGACGCCGGCATTGTTCGTCAAGACGTCTAGCCTTTGTTCCTTAGACATAAACTCTTCGGCGGATTCTTTGATGGAGGCTTGGTCTGCGAGATCAAGCTTGAGGAACTCCAGCCGACCTTTCGACTCTGGACATTGTTGAATGATGGAACTGATAGCTCCTGCTGCTTTATCCGGGCTACGCCCTGCCACGTAGACTGTAGCATTCTTCTGGTACAGGATCTTGGTCAGCTGTAGACCGCACCCAGCGTAGCCGCCGGTGACAATGTGAACTTTGCCTGTCTGATCGAATAGATTCTGTTCGGTGAGAGAAGGCTTCGGGATAAAGAAACACTGGCGGAAGATAGTCGCCATGCTGAGGGATTGAAATAAAACGGTTGACTATTGATTGCCCGTAAATACAGCCCCAAGAACAGAAGAAATAGCTAGTAGAAGATATCTGGGCCGCTGGGCAGGCGTTGATAGTTACGAGTAAACCGGCGAGCCGTGGTGTGGGGGGTTATAAATCGACGGGAAGCAAACAGAGCCCGAAACCGAGGCGCTAGACGTTCCAAGTAGTAAGTCCGGCAAGACGGTCTGCAGCCCATCAATTATGCCGGATTTGTCATTTGCGTGTATCAACGATGTCCACAGAATCTGTATCAAATTAGTAATCAAAACCGCGGTTCGTGATTCAGTTCAGTGCGGTATATAAATAGTGGCGCAACTCCCAATATAATGCCTGTCTATTGATTGTAGACTTCGTACTGGTAACATGCAAGTTGCGATCCTCGGCGCAACCGAGCAGACCAGCTCCATCATTGTGGTGGCTCTCCTCGAATTAGCGACACCGAAATTTCAGAAAATCAGAGCCTTCACGAGACCTTCCTCTCTGCAGAAGCCCGAAGTTCTCCAATTGGCAAAGAGAGCGGTCGAGTGTTGCTGCCGATCTTACACTCGACTGATTACCGTTCACAGGCCTATATTCCACTCTTATTACTGCAGCTAGTTAACAACATAGAACGACCATGTTGAGAGGGAAAGGTGGAACTGTGAGGTAAATCGGCCTAGTAGAATGCAATTTTTCGCTTTAGTTCCTGCCTTCTTTCTGCCAGGCCTCGCTCTTCTCGTGTTGCTATCGACTTACATATTGGTATGAACTGTAGGCAGAGCTGCCTTTCTCAGGCCCGGTCCTGGTGGGTTCGCTGCGACCTACCATCCTGTAAGGCTTACAGCCGACGGATGAGATGGTATCATAGTATAAGAGAGTAACCCTTATAACGCCTACTATTGTGCTACATTGACTGCAATCGTTGCATTCAATGCCTACCTTTTGCCAGCTGGCGTAGCGATATAGCACATCGTTACACACAGACTACAACCAGCTACGCTAAATGTAGGCTTCACGAAACTATATTATATGTTGATTATATATTCTTATTATATAGGAAAGCTATATAAGTTCTAAGAATAATAAGTTAAGTAAAAGTTAATAGTAGTTTATATAAGCTATTCGTTTTTATAATAATATCCTTCAACATACATACATAACGAATGACACAATATAGCAAATAATACAAATTTCCATAAATATATAACTTTTCATTTCAATCATATAAAACTATGCAATCAGATATTGACATAGAAAAAAGACGAAAGTCAAATTATCTTAACTCTCTAGATTATACAAAATGACCCTTAATTAAGCATTTAGATAGTTATGGTAGCAGAGAACTCAATATAAAGCCTAGTCAACTATCCCTAAGTCGCTGACCTTGTGGTAGCTAACGCTGCAAGAGCAAAGACCATCAGACACCGGAACACCATTCTCCCAAGTCCCTTGATTTGTTCCGATACGAGATTGGTCTGATATTCAATCAAGCTCTCTGCGACCGGATCAGAGACCAGACTTACAAACAAAGAAATCAAATCAAATTGAACCTCGAATTTGATTTAATTCAAGTTTGAGAGCTATGGATCTGATTTGATTTGATTTGGCCCCGTTGAGCAGCTCCTATGATATCGACTTTCCGACAACATCTTTGTGATGCCAACTTTCTAGCTACTGCCCCTATGAAGTATGTCCTATAGCCTTCGGTGCATTATCCCAACTGATCTTCGCCCCGAGCAATGACTGCATCATCTCGGGTGTTTGTTTGGTCACCCGGGGGTCATCACCGATGAAGTCCAGTGGGAACCCGACATCAAAGGGCTTAACACTCTCGATATACTTGACTTGATCATCTGTCAATTGTATGCTCAACGCCCTGATATTGTCGTAGAGGTGCTCGACCTTCCGACCACCCACTAGAGGGAAAACATGAGATGTCTTCTGCATCACATATGCTAGTGCGATAGGTTGAATGCCCTCGATTCCGTGCTCAGCAGCCACCTTTTCCAGCGCATCGCTAACTCTGCGTGCCTCTTCACTCTGCTGATTACCACGACCAGTCGAATCAGACTTTTGACGAGCCACGCGTTGTGTCTTCGTCTGCAGCTGACCGCCACCGAGGACATCCCAAGGACACAATGCCATACCGAAATGCCGTGCCATCGGAATGATATCTCGCTCGAAATCCCGAAGCATCAGGTTCCAGCGGCCTTGATATACAGAGAAAGGTGTTTTCCCGTGCGCCTTCGCGTGGGTGTTGGCCGCCGAGACGATCCAGGCTGGAGTATCGGATATACCGAGATAGAGGACCTTGCCTTGTTCAACAAGAATATGGAGTGAATCCATCAGCTCTTCGATTGAGGTTGTCCAATCCCACCAGTGCACATAGAGCAAGTCAATGTAGCTTGTCTGTAACTTGCGGAGCGAAGCCTCAATAGATAGCCGTAAAGACTTCTTATGGTTTCCAGCATAGTTAACGGTTTTCCCCATACCAATATCCCACCCACGGAAATCATTCGTATACTTGGTTGCCACAAACATAAGATCTCGGTTACCTCTAGCAGACATCCAATTCCCTATATACACTTCAGAGTCCTCATTTTGGTAGTTGTTGGCAGTATCGATAAAGTTACCACCGGCACCGGCATAGGCATCCAACAGTTTGAAAGATTGCTCTTCATCCATGGCCCCCATCCATGAGGCCCACGACTTTCCGATGGACATACCCCCCAACACGAGCGGCGACACTCTCACACCCGCTGTCCCAGCCAGGACGCGGTAGCGGCCTAGCTCGGTTTTGGGCTCTGGTGGGATTGGGAAGGTCATGTTTTTGATGTGGCTCATATGAACCTGAAGTTGCTTAGATGGTGAGCTAGAGCGGAAGTATAGCGAGGAAACGAGGGGAAATAAATGAGTTCAAGAAAGGGAGAGATTCGCATTGAACCGGGCACCATTTTCGTGAGTTTATACTAATTGACACTATGATGCTCAAAAACTTGGACGAAATGCTGGACAATATGGATGCTTCGTCTCGGTGACTGGCGAGGACGCGTTCGGAAAGTACACTAGCTGGCGGATCTCTAAAGTCCCCACCTGTCAGCTGGTTGCAGTTTGCACTATCTTAGATAGATGTCTGATGCATATACAACACTACTTAATCGGGCCTATTTGATGTACAAGAGGTGGGAGCTACTATTATACAGCAACAATTGCAGGAATACCATATACACTCGAAAAATTCGTTTTTAAGCTTGACCACCTTTAGCGACTTTCCCTTAGCTCATTGGCTAGATTTGCTAAATTCTCTTTTTTATCGTTGATAGTTATATTATATTATCGAGAGATTATGTATGATTTGTCTTCTTGCTCTTAGCTTAAAAACAAATATTTCGAGTGTATATGGTACCTCAGTGTACTTGATATGAGACGGTAAATTTTGTAACAAAAATGAATTTGGGTACACCCCACGCCCAAACCGCATAAAGCATGACTCGGCATGAGCATGGTCACGCGGAGCCAGTTTCTAGTTTCGCCAGCTCAGTTGTCGACGCCATTACTTAAACTGAGCTTGACTCGGTCGATCAACATTTTCCTCCCATTCTCATGCATGCCCTTTACGCGTCAGCTGTCGCAATTGACATCCCGCTTTCACAAAAGTAAGCCTCTCTGCATACCCTGGTGGCCGCATCCGTCTAATTTTCATCTTCTTCGTTGTTACCTCTGCGTTGAGGCATCGTCAATAATGACGCTTATCCCAGATTACCACAATCCGCCCAACATGGTAAAGACACTTCCTTTTGGACAGCAGGAGGTCCCTGTCCCTGGCTATGGCGCTATGGGGCTTAACTCCGCCATGGGGAGCGATCTCAACTACGAACAGGCTGAGCCTGTCCTCCTGAGAGCCGTGGAGCTCGGCTGTACATTTTGGGATACCGCTGTAAGTCACGAGTCCGTGAAGGAAGCCGAATTACATCACTTCTGACCGTTCCGGATTTCAGGTCGCCTACAAGAATGGCGAGAATGAGAAGCTCATCGGGGAGTTTGTCAAGAGGCATAACGTTCGTGAAAGGCTTTTCGGTGAGCATAACCGCCTCATGACTGCGGTGCTTGGCGGCTTACGACAGACCTTGCGCAGTGGCGTCTAAGTGCGGTTTTGATGTGTTCGGGCCTGTGCGAACAGTGACCAACTCGGCGGCTCATATCAAAAAATATATCGAGGGCACGATTGAGAGGCTTGGTTTCACCCCTGACCTCTATTATCTACACAGAATCGATCCCAGTGCGTTTGAAATCTTCCACATAGCCTTGTCCGGATTGACCCTGACATCACAGTTAAGACACCCCCCTCGAGGAATCTATTGGTGCCTTAGATGAACTACGCCGTGCCGGCAAGACCAAGTATATTGGTCTCTCCGAGTGCTCTGCTACGACCTTGCGAAAGGCAAACTCGAGTTAGTAACCCCGAGTGACAGAAAACCTATGAGATTTTGACGTGTTTCAAGTCGCCAAGATCGATGCTGTTCAGGCCGAGTACTCTGCCTTCGAGACACTACATGAGACTAGTGGTCTCATCGATGCATGCAAGGAGCTAGGCGTAGCATTCGTAGCGTTCAGCCCATTGGGACACGGCTGGCTCGTTGATGACTTCGACTTCAAGTCCCCCGATGACTTCGCACCCAATGATTTCCGACGCACCGGTAGGTTACCATTACGCTCATTAAATTGCGCTCACGGAAACGCTGATACCTATCATTGCAGTGCCGAAGTTCCAGGGCGAAAACTTCTACAAGAACAAGGCAATTGTAGATGAAATCAAAACGCTGGCGAAAGCCAAAGGCTGCACGGTGGCGCAGATCGCGCTAGCTTGGGTCGCCGCACAGGGTTTGATCACTATACCAGGCACAACCAAAGTTCCACGTCTGGAAGAGAACTGGAGGTCTCGAGATGTTGTGCTGACGGAGGAGGAACTGAAGACAATGCGAAAGATTGTGGACGATGCCAAGCCTGTTGGAGAGAGGTTCTCGGCTATCTTCCAGTCAATGGTCGGTCACTAGGCTTAAGTTTGGAATCGAGTCTTGTCACGGTAGGACCATCTATCCCCTGCTTTCTTATAGCTTACATACAACCCTCAGGAGCTCCATTTTGCCTACACATAAGGCGTACGCTCGTTCTACCACTATGGCGCTCCATTTAGTACATTCTCATGCTCGCATGTCTTCTTCCGCTCGTCACAAGTCTTGAGACGCCTAGCTTCGGACACCTAGCCCATCATATGTCTCAAGAATCAATAGAGTTCGGTGATTGATTGTGTCTGCGCTCATCGTGACAGAATCTATCAGATCGACTCGATTGCACTACTAGTCCTTGATCGCACCATCAAAGATGAAGAGCTTCACTCATGACACGTAAATATGGACTTTCTCCAGGTTCAATCCTAATTCATATTCGGCTACCCTATAGTGCCAGTTCAGGCTCTGCTCTCTTCTATACTTCTCTTACCACGTCAGTAAGCCATCAACGTACTTTGAAGAATCCAGTCCAGAGTCCCGAGGACGTGAAAACACCGTTCGGGTCAATAGCTTTTTGGATTTCGACAAGTCTCTGCTTGTTCTCGTCTCCATAGCTGGCAAAGACATCTTGCCCCTTGTCCGCATAGTTAATATACAGAAAGGGGTGTAACGCATTGACGCTCTCAGCTGCAGCTTGGAAATCTGCAATGAAGTCGTTTGCCAGAGCGTATGCTGTGCTGTCCAATACGCTGTCAGTCCAACTCAGAGAAAGAAGATTGACTAAATATAGTTGTCAGATTGTATCTACAGCACACTATCATCATGAGAATATAGAGAAGGGTGAGCAGGCTTACTAATGAGATGCCCTTGGACGTCAAGACCGAGGGCATTGCCGCCTCGTAACTTCGACATTCGCATCGTCGCGGCGGGTATAGAATACGTAATGAGCTGCGGACTCAGAATAGTCAAATTTCCTGATTCTACTTTGCTCTTGAGAGTTTCGAGGCCTTTCTTCCCCACCTCCACCGACGGGTAATGCGTTAGAGTGGCGAAAACGTTCCTGTTGTTCTGTTAGTGCGCTACGGTAATGATGGATGTTTCTTGGAACTCGGACCTCGTGATTCCCAGCGGCCCACTGAAGGCAGTGCTACTCGCTAGACTGTTTATGCCTCCGGTAAGATTCCCCAAGGCCGGAATGCTATTAAGGGCATCAAACACTGATGGATTCATGACTGGCTCGGCGTAGCGCTGGGTGCTCGACATGATCCACCCAGCCTGTGCTGAGTAAGTGTACCGGTACTCAAGGCCAATATTAGTATCTTCATGGTCTTCAATTGTGAATATCTTCTCGGCTTCCTCGAGAAATCGACCAGTCTGGTTATCGGGGAAGGTGCGAGCCCCAGTGTAGACAGATGGCTGAGGAAACACGTTTACAACAAACGACGTTACAATACCAAAGTTATTACCACCACCTCGAAGGGCGTAGTACAAGTCCGGATACGAATCTTCGGACACGGTCACAATCGTGGCATTCGGCAAATCAACCTGAAGAGATCAGCAAAGCTAAGTCAGGCCAGAACGCCTTCTCACCTCGTACTCCAGCACATGATCCAGGGCCCAACCATACTTCGCGGAGAGGGCGGACGTGCCACCACCAAGGGAGTAACCACCCATGCCGACTTGTCCGACCCGTCCTCCAACATAGGCTAGACCGTACGGATCGAGAGCAGCGAAAACCTGACGTGTGAGAGATCCGCCTCCAACGCGAGCAGTAGTTTTGTCATCTGAAACCAACGTGCTGTTCATCAGCCCTAGATCGATAGTAACACCGCCGACAGAGACGGAGTCATCCGGAAATCGTGAGTGACCACCACACTTGACAGCGAACCGGCACCAGTTGTCCACCAGAACCTGCAGTACTCGGGAAACCTCATTGGCGGAGGCGGGCTCGACACGGCAGACATAGACGGTTTCTAACTGCTTCTGGTCCCAGATTGTGAAGTTGTCATCAGAGCCATCGTAGTGCAGTCTGTCAAGGAACTCGGAGGCCAAAGTAGCGCACTGTTCCAGCTATTAGACAATGGTTTTCAGGCATCAGTCAGATTTCCACACTCACAGCCTGCTGACACGTCCCATTATTTGGAAGGAGAGAACAATTCCGCTCAAGTCTGGCGTCGACAACGCTTGTCGACATGACCAAACAACCGATCGAAAACAAATGCTGCGCGAGCTTCATCTTGTCGACAATGAAAGTCCTGTTTGGAGGGATGGAGTTTAGCATCTGCAGGACAGCTTGCGCCAGGCGCGTCTGAATTATGGAACTCTTCGAGCATCCGCTGGCACACTTCTGACGTGGCCCGTGCTTGAAGCTCCCAGAGAGGCCTCATTGTTGACGTGACCTGCATGACTGTCCGCTATTGCAGATATCGTGCCGAGTCGACTTGTCCCGAGATAGTCCCGGAATAGGAAGCTAAGTTTGTGTATGATACGGGGTGCGCGAGTCTGACTCGTTCTGTATGTGATCGACCAGGTTCGCTGGTGGGTTGCCTCTAATTTCTCCATAATACTTGAGTAACGAACAGAGACTGTGCAAACTGTCTTGCCGTACTGTATACGATATCTGGTTGATTTCCGTTTCTCAGGGCAAATCGGACTAGGCTCCGCAGGAACGAAAGCTATGTACCATAGTATCTAAGAGAAGAAGCGGACCTTGCAACGAGACGTACGATGATTCTATCGCAACATGCTTGCATGGACTATCTTCAAGGGCCTTCTTTGATCCAAGGTTACACGCGACTTGCCCGCCGCCAGTGGCCTCTACCGATGCGCGCATGACTCGATATTCCCACTGCCGTTTGGCGATGTAATCCCAAGAGCTCAGTGCTAAAACCCAATAGAGGACAAAGGCCGAGAGCAAAGCGCCGCTTCATTTCCAATACAAACTTCGCAAGAAGGTTGTCACAGAACAAAAGTACTCAGACGGAATAGAATATGAAAATGAAGAGGCAAAGATGTGTTTTTACGTGCTCAGTCTTACAGTAGAGCATGAGCAGGGCTCTCCGTGCAGGGATCGTGAGGACGTGTTGCACCTTACGCAGATCTTCTCAATGTTGCGTTAGATCCACTGAACATACCGTAGGTCGAGAAGCTAAGCAAATTCATGGATCTCGATTGATTTTCGTTACAATAGCTGACGTTGTGCCCGGCACTAAAATCGGGACGGAACCTTTGGATGCAACATCATCCCGCCACTAAAAGTGGACACGAGCGCTGTGGACGGACACGATGATAGCGGGATCACTAAATACTGTAGATGAGTTTGTTCAGGCTTAAAATTTCACTGAATTCAGGCATAGTTGTCTTTGCTGACATACCGCGTATCTAACAATTTCGACTTCGAAATATGTATAGCGTAGATTGCTTGTGTGTGGAGTGTCGCTTCGAGACCTCGGGTATTACCATAATGTGCTTGCCCTGTTTTCGGCCTTTTCAAAAGACCTGTCGAATGAGCCTTGCTTCAACTCTGAACATGTCTCTCCCTTTGAAACCCAAGAAAAAGGTGGTTTGAATGATGCCAGACTTTGTAGGGATGTTAATCGAGCATATATGTGTTAGTCCCCAGACTCAGACCAATCACAGTACTAAGTGTATCGCCGGACAGTGACTAGTTGTAGTACATATTCATTAAGATATTATTGTAATCGGGCAATTCGATCCTGACTTACGTCATGATTTCCTGCGAACATCACGCCGTAGACTCTCGGCATTGCTAGCTCTACAGTAGGGAGTCCTTGTCAACTACAATAGTCATTATGGAGCCCAACCACGGCTAGGCTCTAACTTGGCTGATGCCCCGCATTTCATGTTACTCCGAGCTTGTTGACCCTCATCAGCAACCTGGTTTAGGTTTCTTGGCGGAATCAATACGCGCCATCTCCAACTCCTAGCTCAGAGAGCCACGTTTTGGGATATATCCGGAAATTGTGGTCGAACTAGTACAGTGTGGCGACTGCTGCAACGGTAATCCATTTGCATAAGCTCACGCTATCAAAATCTTGGCATGACGGGCTACCCGGGAAGGATCACGCATAATCAGAACTAAGGTAGATCTTGGGGGCAGGGGAAAGGCGCGTCACAGGGGACAGAGACTACATAATTTGGATGACAAATACAACATCTTCGACTCTACACCCCCAGGCTGCCAAGCAGATAACAAACAAGCAATCATCTAATCGTCGGATGAAACATTTGAGGTTATGTCGTTGTGTCGTTGATGATAGCGGATACATTTCCGAAATTGGGTCATCTCCGAGCTTTGATGGCTTCAAATAGCGAGTGCACTCCTGCCTCTTCTTGATCCGACTCCGAAAAGTATATTCATTCTTACAATCAATACATCCATCAGGAACTAAAAGTTGTCATTCGCTTCCCTTAAATCATATGGATATTTAAGTTAGGCATGTGCTAGATATATTAGTATATTAACCTTTTAAATTAACTATTTAAATGACTACATAGATTGCTAAGTTGTTTGAGAGAGTTGACCTGAGGGTATACATACAAACCTGATAATGTATGTAGAGTTGTGTGGCTGTATAGAGCACAGACCAACTTTTTGGTGTGATCTATATGTATTGTCAGGTCAGCCATGGCACTCACTATCAGTTTTGCTGTACGGTCGTATATGTAATAGTGGCCTGGGGCGGGGGAACATGGAGTTGCTCCGACAACCCGAGCTGAGAAACTGCCACCGCTTAGCCCCGCACTCTCCAAGCGTGGTGTTCGTGGGGAGCGGACAATCTCCGTGTTTCCCCGTACTTGCATCATCCAAGCGGCGTGGTAATATGGTAGCTACCTAGGCCATCTTTGCCTACCGCATGGCCTCTCTACCACTCCTTGAATGTACACCTCCACTAGGGAATGCGTCAAGAGTGAGAATATCATCCTTTATTTCTCAAGCCCCACCAGCATTACAAATGTAGCGACATCCTTGTTGCAAAAGTCGTGATCCCTTTGACAGACTACGGAGTAGCGTTTGGTTCATTAGTGGAGTACCTTATTTATTAGAGTTTCTCCTACGCTATACCTTATTATCCCTAGACTTCACCCTCGCCCTATCATTGGAACAACAAGACGCTAATGCCTCTCCACAGTAATGCAAGTGGATTACTGTACCTAGGTCTACTTAGCGGAAGTTCCTTGGCCTGGGGATGAACTCCGCCGCTCCAAACCAACTTCGGCTTGCGTATCCTGACTCGAGCATGGGAGGATGTGGTATCCTGGGCTACCACCAGAACAGGTTACACGCATCGCGGCGCATTCGAAACATGATTGTACCTCTACCGGTCTGACCGTCGTTCTACGTATATTGTGTGCCCTTGTTACCTGATAGTTTTACACACGTATAAGACAAGCACCAAAAGGAACCTGGTCTTGATAGCTATCATAAGTAGTGACAGAAGCTCCGTGCCAGACGAAGGCTCTATAAACCGTTAACGATGCAGTCAACAGCAAGTCCAAAGCCCTCTATCGTTTTTGGTGCGATGACTATCGGGAAACCGGGTTCGTTATTGTTTCTGCGCTGCAATATTTACGTTAATAATTTTAGGTGTTGAACAGACCAGAATCCACACTCTTGAAGATACCTCAAAAGTGCTTGACATCTTCCAGAAATATGGCCACCGAGAAATCGATACCGCGCGTGTGTACGGTGAAGGATCGTCTGAAGAGTATCTTGGGCAGCTAGACTGGCAAGCCCGGGGTTTGGTCATGGGCACAAAGTTCTATGCCAACCCCAAGCTGCGCTCACAAGGTGTCTCACACTCGCCCAAGAATCTCCGAAAGTATTTGAAAGAATCTCTACAGGCCCTCAAAGCTGACAAGATCGATTTATGGTACTTACACGCCCCAGACCGTTCAGTACCTTTTGAGGATACGTTTCGTACTGTAAATGAATTATACCAAGAAGGGCTATTCCAGCGATTCGGCATTAGCAACTACCAAGCCTGGGAGGTGGCATATATAAATGAACTTTGTATACAGAGTGGTTGGGTTCGTCCATCTGTATATCAGGGGGTATATAATGCCATTCACCGAACAGTGGAACCCGAACTCTTCCCATGTCTACGTCATTATAGCATGTCATTCTATGCCTACAATCCACTAGCCGGCGGTTGCTTGACATCGCGTTATCATCGAGGAAATGCATCCTTGACTCCAGGATCCCGGTTCGACTCGCAAACTAGGCAAGGCTCGTTGTACCGCACCAGATACTGGAAAGACTCGGTGTTTGAGGCACTTGAAGTTATTAGGAACGCAACGAAGAAGCATGGTCTTACTGAAGTCGAATGTGCTCTGCGCTGGTTGGCGTATCATTCGTACTTATGTGTGACATCTGCAGATGCAATCATTGTCGGTGCTAGTAGTGGAAACCAACTTGAAGAGAATTTGAAAGCACTAGAAAAGGGACCTCTGCCCAGCAGCGTGGTAGATGCTTTGGACAAAGCTTGGGAGCGAACCAAGGGCGACTCTTGGAATTACTTTCACTGACTTGAATCAACAACACGGGAACATCATGAGGCCTTAGAGGCTGATGCCCTTAGGTACGACACAGCATTGTAGCACAAACTCCCGGGGCTGTAGTTAGTCTGACCTAGATCTTCCTGAGATGGTTACTGTTACGGCGAGAATATTGTGATTTCTTGAGTGAATTTCGAAAGGGCAACGCGTGATTCTTGATCCATACTATTTATAGCAGCAGGCCAGTTGTCTCTATGGTATGAACCAAATCGTAACCTCTAGCTCTGCGAGGCTTTATTGACAGCTGTAATGGATGGTAGGTCCAGGATGTGCTCATATACTTTCCTGCCTTTCCCTTCGAGGACTTCTGTGATATATGTCTCCAGCGTGACCCCTTTGAAATCGGGATAGAGATCCCTGGCCAATAAGTACTCCAGATACTGAGCATATAGAAAGAAGAGATAGATCTGATATTTTAAGAACTTTAGATATATCTCCTTAATCTTATATTATCTTATAATGATATATGGTATAAAGGAGGTTTGTAGATAAAGATAGCTGACTGTCTTAGGCGGGGGGGTGGGGGGATAGGACTAGACTAGCTAGGCCCTTTGGGGATGGGTGTTGGAGCTAGAGAAGGCTGACCTAAGTGTCTTTATGCCGGGTGGGACGTTTGCTGACTTACTAACTCGCTATACCCAGTTTGGGGGAGTTCGTTAAAGAAAACGCGCCGTACTAGCGGTAGGGTTCTTAGGTCAGTATCCCACGCTCGAGGTTACTCAGTCTGGGTGAAGAGGAATTCGTTTTCAATTAAAAACCGACAATTGAGGCTAAGCTACGTACAAAGAGGGGTGCATATAGGGGCGTAAATATAACATACTAGACGTTAGCTTCCTTCGGCCAAACCACGGATTACCCAGCACGATCGACTGCGGGGATTGGAGACTGGGGTGTGTATTGACATGGGGACGACATTTTATGAACGACTATGTTGCAACGTTCATTTGTAATTCTGCCGCTTGCTCGGCTCAAATTATCGCGATGGCTCGAGATCATTGACCTCCCGGGCGATTGACTAGGCGAAGGCTGATCTCGTACCTATTCCTCGTTTTCCCATTTGTGAGCTGCTTCGCACTTTAAGGCACTGCTCTGTTGCTGCTGTGAGCTTCTTTCATATAAGGCGAGCCTTGGAACATCCTTTGACGTCATTCGTAGCCGGTAAATAGGAGTCCTCCCTTGCCTGCTGACCAAAGAGCAACCGAAAATGTGGTATTCAGTGATACTCCTAGCGGCACTATTCGTATTTACACGGGGAATCAACAGTTCGGCAGTCAAGGTTGTCCGGCTCAGCGTCGATGGCCGCACCGATGTCGCTTTAGGTCTTGGAAATCCGCGTCCTACTCTTGCCTGGCAGATGATTCAAGTCCGAGACTGCGACGAGCCTGTATGCCCGGGCGACCGACAGTCCGCTTACCGAGTCCAGGCGGCTACGACTCTCGAAGACCTAAGATCGGGCCGGCTAGTCTGGGACAGTGGGAAAGTCGACAGTAACTCCCAGCAGGTACGCTTCGGCCGTGATCTCAACTCACGCGACACTGTTGTCTGGCATGTGCGGGTGTGGGATGCCAATGGCACCCCTTCCGGTTGGTCGCCGCCTTCAACTTGGACCACAGGCCTGCTTAACCAGTCAGACTGGGGCGAAGCGCGTTGGATCAACCATCCCACACGCACGGAAACCCAGCCGCTGCCACTGTTCGTTCGCCATTTTAATATTTCCCAGAGCAAGAAGGTTGCTTATGCGCGCTTCTATTTGTCCGGCGTCGGCATGCACCACGCTACGGTCAACGGAGAGGACGTCACTGATGAGGTCCTTGCACCGGGTTATTCCAACTACCAACTCTCCAGCGAATATCGTACGTACGATGTCAAGAAAGCTCTGAAGCCGGGGGCAAACTCTATTGGTGTAAGTTTGGGCAATGGGCCTGCCTACATTCGTCGGAGCGTCACCAATGCAGCCGTTGGGCGCAACGCACCCTATGCTTGGTGGGAGAGTCAGCTCAAGGGCAATGGAACTCTCATTACCAACGCAGAGGCCGGCAGTACAACTGTTCATCTCAACAATGTCACTAGATACCATTTAGGAGGCACTATCAATATTGATACCGGCGATGGCGGCGAGGCTCTTGAATCGCGCACCATCACGGTAATTGACAATAGCACCAACACCATCAGCTTCACGCCTGGACTCACTCTGGCACACAAATCTGGGGTTATCATCACCGGCTCAGGCAACAACATTGCTGCAAGCGATCCATCAGCTGGCGCTGCTGTCACCCCGCGCCTTATCGGCCGTCTGGAGATCGTTTACACTGATGGTAGCACAGATGTCATTGTCACCGACCGTTCCTGGCGCACCACGCTCGGCCCTTTGGTGACCAACCAATGGTACTCGGGCTCGGACTATGATGCTCGCCGCGAGCAAGCCGACTGGGATTCTCCCGGCGTCTACCTGGCATTGACAACTTGGATTGCTGCTGGGTTTGCTCCACCACCCAACCTTGCCACAAAGTTGGTTGCTCGCGCCGCTGAGCCTGTCAAGATGCAGGAGACATTCAAGGCAATATCTGTCACGAATCCGGTCGCGAGCACATGGGTCTTTGAGTTTGCACAGAACTTTGCAGGCTGGCCCCTTCTCAAACTCCCCGAGCTGCCCCCTGGCGTTACTATTAAGATGGCCCCTGCCGAGTCCCTCAATGCTAACGGCACCGTTGACCAGTCATCTCTTGGCCCCGGATCCCGTGGTACTGACTTGTTCAACACCTACACCACGTCGGGGCGCCCTGGTGGCGAGACTTGGTCTCCTAAGTTCAACTACTTCGGCATGCAGTGGGTACAGGTCACCGGCCTCCCGGCCGGGTTCAAGCCGGACGCGGACCTGATCACCGGTATACGTCTACAAGTCGACGCTCCAGTTGCGAGTACTTTCTCTTCGTCCAACGCACGTGTTAACAGAGTCCACAAAATGGCGTGGTACTCATTTGCTAGCAATATGATGTCGGTCTTCACAGACTGTCCTGGGCGCGAGAAACTGTCGTATCCAGCTGACTACACTATGCCCATGGGTGCTATCTATCGCAATTTCAACATCAACGCCTTTCTACGCACAATCATACACCACTTGGTAGAGGCCCAGTCTATTGCGGACACCCCGATGGCTGGCAATGTTGCCCTCAAAGCACCTGTCTACGATTGGGGGTATAGTGGCCGCTTCGGCGACGAGATCAACTGGGGCGACGCCATCGTTCTAGTTCCTTCCCTGCTTCATGATTTATACCGTGATACGACGGTTATGGCAGCCTATTACAACCAGATGACTGACTTTGTCGATTACATCCAGCGCGAAAAGGCCCAAGGACACATTGTCGACGCAGCCCTCGCAGACTGGGTGGATGACAACGGTGAGACCTCGGGTCGCATTACTGGTACTTGGGGCTACTACCTCACCATCAGTGCCATGGCTCGTATGGCCAATCTGACCAGCCACGCAGCCGATGCTGAGCGTTACGCGAGTCTAGCTGCCGAGATCCGTGACGCGTTCCACGCCGCCTTTTACAATGATGCTAGTGGTCGCTACACGAACTCTGGCAACAATAGCACCAGTAATGCTACCCAGGCCGCCCAGGCCCTTGCCCTAGATGCCGGCCTTGTACCTGGTGAGCATCGGGAATCGGTACTCAACGCCCTAGTTGAGCTAGTCAATGACTATCATTCAAGCAACAGCAGTGGGCCACATTTCAGCGGAGGTACGATCGGGCTAGGACCGATTGTCCGCGCGCTGTCAGCAGGCAACCGGGATGATTTACTCTGGAGTGCATTACAGCAAGACGACAAACCTAGTTACGGCTACTTCATGGCTTCAACAGTGGCCAATCCGAACGGGTTCACCACCATTGGTGAATCGTGGGATCGTGGCTCATCCAAGAACCACATGATTCTAGCCCAGATCGACGAATGGTTCCATGCTGGCATTGCAGGCATCCGGCCCAACTCCCTCACCACTCTTAGCCAGACTTGGGAAGATCAACTCGTGTTCCACCCTAAGCCGGTTGGTGACCTCGAGAATGCTGCAGCATCCTATCAAACACAGCACGGGGAGGCGCGTAGTGAATGGAGAATCACGACTGATGGTGCTTTCACATTATCTGTTACGGTACCCGCTAACACAAACGCCGAGGTACGCGTACCTGGCCAAAATGCTGTTAAAGTCTCTCCCCGTGCCAAGCGTGCTGGCACCGGACAGGGATATACCATCTACACTGTCCCCTCCGGCATGCATACATTCAATACTACAATTTTGGAGTAGGTCGACTTTGTGGTCCTCTGAGCATGCTTCGCTATATGGGGCAAAGGTGACATTTGTCACGAGGAAGGGTGCACGCACCGAGGCTAGTGTGATTTGATGATACAGAGGCTCAAGTACACAATTCAATTCACAGCAAGTTAGCTGTTAATATGAAGGCAACCTTTCGTTTCACAAACCCCTAGCCGTCATGTTGTTCATGTAAAAGAGCGAATAAAGACTCGCCAGTTTCATGCCAACCTGTATATTCAAGTTTGCAGCCAAAGGTCCACACTTCTGATGACATAAAGTCGCGATAATCTCTTCTTCTCAAGTTTTGTCCTGAATCTCTGGAAGACTAAGTCGGACCTGTGGCATGACATAACTGTGTAAGTACGGCATACACCTCATATCTTGTCTATAGCACTGTAACCCTATACATCATGTCAATATAGCCTCGCCATAGCCTGAACGAGTCAACAAGGGGAGGACTTGTCCCTTCACTGCCACACTTGCGTCTTCCATCCTTCCGCATCTGAACTTAATCATATATCTCTAGCTATGACTGTCTTAACCCGTTAATTCTGTAATCACACTACAATCCTAGTCATGGACTTTTCGAGTAAGCTGTTTCAGACACCCTCTGGCCATCTCAGAGAAATCCTTGGTAGTTGGAATTCATGCTCTGCCGTCATGCCCAACAACGTTTACAACATGATTAGTAGCGGTCTCAGTTTTGAGGAAACGCCACGGCTTTACTTTCAATTCAAACAGCTCGTCGAGCTCAGCGGCAGATCGTCTGTGTAAAAGATTAGTTTCAGAAAGCAAAATGGAAAGTTATTTGCAGCTTACCGAGCGGTCTCGGGAATTAAGAACCAAGCGGCAACAGTGACCGGCAGCCCAACCCCCGCATAGAACCAACCAGTTTTCAGGTTCCAGTTCCACTGGTTCGTATTGACCATGTATGGCGTCAAGACGTTCATGATAATCCCAACAACGCACGTCGTTGCAGCTCCAAAACCAGCAGTATATGGGCGAAGTCTCTGTGACGATATTTCGCCGATGAAACCCCAGCCGGTTGATCCAATCGCAACAAAACCCACGTCTGCGTTAAAAATGATTAGCTTTGGGACATATAATTTACACCAAACACTTACTCCACAGGCAGGCAAAGACGATGAGCACAATGTTTGTCGCGCCGTTCTGAGGAATCACTCCCAGAATACCAACAACAGCGCAAGACAGCCACGAAAGTGTCACTCCACAGCAGCAAGCGAGACGTCGTCCAAACTTGTCGACAATGCCGATAAGTACAACCCCGGTTGCCAGCCCAATTGCAGTAGTGATGCAGGTAACCATGAAAGGATCTTCGACACCAGCCTGCTGGAAGAAATAAGACGAGAATGTGGAGAACAACGTCAGCCCTAGGAATTGCTGCGACAGGAGCGGCCAAAGTGCGATGATAGTTCGAAAGCCATTCGTGCCCTTGAAAATCGAATACCATTTCTCCTGTCTCTGTTCTGCAGCGACAAACCGCTCGTGTTCAACCGTGAGGCTGAGGATCTGGAATTGCTTTTCGACGTCGTAATCTTTAACGTCACAGTTCAAGAACCGGAGGATGCGCTTGGCCTGTTCTTCCCTGCCCCGAGTCACGCACCATGCCGGCGACTCAGGGACGAAAAAGTATATGATAATCATGAGTCCGACATGCGCCCACTGTGTATAGATCGGGATTAAGTACTCATGAGGGTCCTTTTTACTTAATACTTGCAGTGCAACCGGCGCGAAAAAGTTACCGAGGGAGAACCAGAAGCTGTAGGTCATAAGCAACGCGCCCCGAATCTTCACCGGGGCGACTTCAGTGATATAAGTTGGGATTGTTGTCTGCAGACACCCGACACCGATTCCGGCAAGAAGCTTCGCAATAAGCCAGGTTTGCCAGCTCCGACCGAGTGTTTCCAGAAGTATGCTAATAGCGAGGATAGACCAGTAGCAGTACATGGCCACTTTGCGACCAAATCGATCCGATAAGAAGGGTAGAGTCGTCATACCGATGATCTGTCCCACTGACATGATCGAGCTCCATCCGCTTAGAATGGGTGACGCGAGATTGGGCTCGCCCGAAGCATTTCTCTCGGTCGCGAATTGCTTGACGAACCCCTGATTGGCTATCACATTGCCGTTCATGCTGTGAGAGATCTAATAAGTTAAGAACTCAAGGGAGACTGTGACGGTTTTGAACAATGCCGAAGGACCTCACCCAATTTGGTAGCCATCAGTGGCAGCGCTGAAGGTCACCAAGCCGCAAATGAATGTGTTGAACTTGAAGGTTTTCACGGTCTCCCAAACTGGTAGAGTCTCGTATCCCGAGATGCCCTGACCTTTCGCAATGGCGATGGCTCCAGCATCTTTTACAAGAACACCAGAGTCGTCGACAGTTTCCTTTCGTTCTATCTCGTTGGTATTCCCAACTCTGTCGATGTGCTCGAGGTTGATGCCACCCATGGCTGTAATGAAAGGCGGGCGAAAGGCACAAATGAGATACTGGGAGAGTAATACTATAAATGTGAAAGGGAACGCCGGTTGCGATCTGCAAGCGGCCAGACCTGAATCTTCTCTTGGGACAGCTCTTATTCATAAAGTCTGCCGAGTGGCTACACATGTTGTGACCCCGGCCTTGAACCTCAGCTGAGTCGAAGATGCCACCTACTTTGCCCTCTCCCGTGGCGCAGGCCACATGATGGCGAGATTGTGGGGAGTCGAGGAGCACACATCAATCCAAGCCCGCGGATGGAGTAATCTCGGTGGATCATTCAACTCCATCGCCAGATGCTCGCTTTATCTCACCCCGCGGGGCCTTGGGTTGCTTCATGTTTCCCCTCATCCATGTGCTTGTGGATGATGTGGTAGGAATGGTCGCCGTGCGGGGAAACGGTGGTGGGGAGATGCTGAACGGATCGACTCCGTGTCTCCCCGTTCCTGCCTTTCATTGCGGGATGTGATGGATCCTCTGCAAAATGCAGTACCTTGCAGCCGCCATTAGCTGCACCACGGGGCGTTTGCATATCCAAGCCCATGGGGCAGTCAACAAACATTCGGTCCCAACTTCTCCGGGGGGATAAAACCGGAACAAGATTGTGAAGAGCTCTTCGGTACTTGAGTCCATACTTCGGGGTTCACTCTGCACTTCGCGATCTAGTTTCCAGAAACCAGGTTCAGGTTGTTCCAGCCGGGCGCCAGACATAAGTCAGTATCAACAAAGCATCTAAGTATGCGGGGCGACTGATACATAGACACCCGGGTGCCCAAATTATGTCAATACCCTCTACTAACCCTACCTTTCGCTTTTAACAAGTTCGCATCGCCTCTACTATACTATTTCCTTTATAAAAGATAGTTTATGAAGTATTCTCTGATAATATTTAAAGTATATTAGTATATCGAACTTAAGTTATAGATTTAGTGTTAGTATATGAATCATTTTAACCTTTAATTTTGACGATGTAGATAAAGGTCCGAACTCAGGGGCTGTGTGCGAACGGTGGGGGGTGCTGACATAATCTGGGCACCCGGGTGCCCATGTATCAGTCGCCAGTATGCGGGACTAGGATCACCTAGGCAGCCTCTCTGCGCTAAGGACGCTCACATCGTTTCATTTTGTTGGCTCCAAAAGCATTGAATGCAACATCGGTTCATGGGTGGCGACAGAAAGACACGGCCATTGATGCTACCAGAATGAGGCCACCGCGCGTGTCACAGTTTACTTTCCACTGGGCATTAGTAACTAGGCGGACGATGCCTCCTCGGAGTGCGCATCGGCAGTCTACCCCTTCCGGATTAAATATTTGTATCCCAGGGATTAATTGTTTGATGGAAACATGGGAAAACTGCCCTACCTCAGCACATGTGCCGCTTTATTTATGCTAGCTAATTGGCGTCCGGGCATGAAGGAATATAACTGACTTTTCGGTTTGGATAGATTCAATTAAGCCACTACTAAGCTTGACCCAGCTGTTCCATTTCATACAGTCAAGTTGAAGCGCCGAATAGCGATATGAGCCTTTACCTTCTTCATCTTGCTGCTCTGGCAAGCTTTATTACTCGTGGCTCGTCGCAAACATGTCAATTCCAGACAGATTGCGAATCTTTACGCGACTCCTTGAGCATCCCAGGAGGTGATGTATCCTTGGCCCAATATGTTCCCGCGGGAACAAACCTAAGCCTAACCAGGGGCGACCCCAGCTGTGGGCGTTCCTCTCAGGTAGTCACCACGAGCCTGTGCCGTGTAGCCATGACGCTGTCGACGTCGAATCGTTCGGGCATTGACATGGAGGTGTGGCTACCGAAGAATTGGACCGGCCGATTCCTCAGCACCGGGAATGGTGGCCTTGGCGGCTGCATCCAATACGAGGACATTGAGTATGCCACATCGCTTGGCTTTGCGGCAGTGGGCACCAACAATGGTCATAACGGTATGACCGGACAAGCTTTCTTGAACAACCCAGATGTTGTCCAAGATTTCGCCTATCGCGCGCTACATACGGGAGTCCTTATCGGGAAACAGGTCTCTAATACCTTCTATGGATCCGAGTACACCAAGAGTTACTATCTTGGCTGCTCAACTGGAGGGCGCCAAGGATTTAAGGAAGCCCAGACGTTTCCTGACGATTTTGATGGGATAGTCGCAGGCGCGCCAGCCTTTTCTTTCAACAACCTCACCTCATGGAGTTGTGACTTTCTCATTCGCACCGGGCCGCCTGGATCAGAGACTTTCGTCCCTGTGGATATGTGGCAGACTATACATGCCGACATCCTGAAACAATGCGATAGTCTAGACGGATATGTTGATGGTATCCTTGAGTCGCCTGATCTCTGCGACTACAACCCAGGCGACCTTGTCTGTGCGGCTGGGCAGACGAGTAATTGCTTGACCGAAGTACAAGCCGATACCGTGGGCAAGATATTCTCTCCACTTCGTATGCCAGATGGCAATCTCGTCTATCCTCGCATGCAGCCTGGTTCAGAAACAACGGAGGCCACATTTACGTACTATACTGGACAAGAGTTCGGTGCCGCTGATTGGTTTCGCTATGCGATCTTTAACAATCCCCAGTGGAACGCATCGATGCTGACTCCAGCCGACTTTCTGTTATCCGAACGCCTAAACCTGTTCAATATCGAGACATGGGACGGTGATCTTTCAGCTTTCCAGGCTAGAGGTGGCAAGCTCTTGCATTACCACGGACAGGCCGACGGCATTATTTCGAGCGAGAACTCGCCACGGTACTATAACCATGTGTTAGATACGATGGGATTGACACCAACACAGGTAGACGATTTCTACCGCTTCTTTCGTATCTCCGGTATGGGCCACTGTGGTGGTGGACCTGGTGCATCATTCATTGGCAACCAGAAGCGCAACGCTGCAACCTTAGATGCGTCAGGGAATGTGCTGATGGCAATTGTCCGCTGGGTCGAAGACGGCATTGCACCCGACACGATCACTGGAACTGCCTACATCAATGGCAGCGAGGTGGCGGGTGTAGCATACCAAAGGAATCATTGTCGTTGGCCTTATCGCAACGTGCACAAGGGCTCTGGAGGGCCAGGAGCGGAGAACTGGGAATGTGTGGTGTAATGATAGACATTGACTTCCAAGCATAATACCACGAACACAGTGGTGTTGCACCTTTGACATCTTCAAAATGCAAGTAACGTGCCAAGATAGGAACCATTATACACAGTATACATAACTTTTCCGTCATTATCGCGGTCCTAGCATGTCGTTCCTTGCTTCGGTAGACCTATAGTCACGTACTTTGCGTCGCGCGCCATGATGTCAGTCTATTTCAACAGTATCGTGAAGTTTGGGTCACAAACTATGACCCTTGAATGTGAGAATCGTGTTTTAAAGTGAACCTGATATATTCTCATATAGGAATACAACATCAGCTAAAAGGACTGTCCTTTGGGCTAGACCGTATGATCGACTGAAGTAACTCATAGTCTCGCGCAAGCGTCGGTGACAATGAAGCAGCTTCTGGTGTTACAGCTTTCTTCCGTGCCCATTGAATGATCTCCCAACCTGCAGGAAGTATAGATACGCCGAGTCGGTCGTCTCTGAGAATGAGTGCTGTCTGTACTTCCGCTGCGAAAAGCCTGGGTTATGGTAGTCAATAACGTTTCCTCGTAAATTTAAACTGCAATGGTGCTTACGTTCGCCAGGCGTTAAGTGGATGAAGTAGAAATTCACAAGGCTCGTGAAGTATGCCGCCATTCAAAACAGACTGGAGCGCCGACGACAACGCAATTTGAGCGCCACGGATGTGGTGAGCCTGTAAGGGAGTAGTAATCGAGCTGTTTAACGCGGAGTAGATGCATGACCGGTAGAGAATGGCCCGAGCAGCATAATACCGTGTTTTGAGGTGACCTTTCAATCTGTCATGCAAGGCACGTATCTGGAAGAGTCGCGTTGCTTTTAGCTCCTCTGCAAGAGATAAATTTGGGAATTGGTGCACTTCAGGTAAACAAGATCTCCACTCTTCAATTTGGCGATCTAGCTCTGTGAAGACAGCTTGAGGCGGTTCCGAAAGGCTATCTAATTGAGAATAAGCAAATATTCAAAAGTGAAAGGGTAATGGAATAGGCAAAGCAAGTCCCCGGTCTCAAATATCAACATACCTCGGTTGTAGATATGGGAATGGATACGGTTGAGTAACCGCCGCATTGAAATTAGTGCGAGAAAGAACGATTGGTACTCCGCGCGGTAGGGTTCTGTTTGGGAGTCGGGAGCAAGGGGTAATGGTACAATGCCCTCCAAGCCGCTCAACCCACTAGGGGGGAAATCTACTTCAGCCAGAATCTGACTGGATTACCCTCATCGTTAGCTCTGTGTCATCGATGTGAAGACTTGCTTATACCTCTCCTGGAGATACGCAATCCAATAGAGCTGACAGTGTTGCGCCTCAAATTTTGTTTGCCTGTCAGCAAACGTTAGTGAGCATAAGTTGGCTGCCAGCTACTTAGCTTACAGTGGCAGAAGAATCATGATCATAGAACAAGCTTTATTAACAGCTTGCCAATAGTCATGAACCCGCAGCTTCGCATTGTGAAATAAACTGCACACGTTTTTAGTAGCCTCCAACTGCCTTGATGTTCAACAAGCACTCACCCTATAAGAAGTAGGCATTGGATGCTAATCCAGTCAGTTTCGTAAACCTTGCGAAAGATCTCCGCCACCAGCTCCATTAACCCGAGTTCGCAATCACCACTGCCTAGTGTGAGCTCGCTTTCGGTCCACTCGTCCCCGTGTTCCACGTGTTGACCGATCATGATACCGAGAGCAAACACTACAAGAACGAGGCAGGACTCGATGTCCTCTCCAAAGCCGTTTCGGAATGCACGATTGAGATGTTGGCTGTAGAAGTAGTCTTCATCCAAGATTAAATACTGTGGATGGAAATAAATAAAGTAGAGCCTAGTGAAGTCGCGAATCCGAGTTATCGAGAGTTTAGCAAGCCAGTCTCGGATGGTACCCGCAGAGCTTACAGGAGCTTGTTTGGGCCTCTTTACCTCCAGTTCCAGGGGATATCGCCGTCCCAGGCCGGTTAGCTTCACCGGAGACGATGGCCACGATAGTAAGTGCTGTGGAGCTGTGAGGTGTCTCTTGGGAATCGCAAGCTCGTGCATGGGCTGAAACGAGCTGTCAGAAGGATATGACCAGCTTTCCTGCGGAGAAATCTGCACGGATGGGCTTGAAAGAATCTGCGGGTTGCCCGGGTTCGTGTAATCAGTGGCTGCGCATGGGACGTCTCCGGGACGACTATATGTTAACGTGTCTATCTTGGATTCCAATCGTTTTAGTGTGTCGTGCAGATCTTGGGTACAAAGGGCCTTTCTGTGGATGATTTAGCAAGATGTCTACACATGTACGATTATTGCAACAGTCTGACATACTTAGAGCTCGTCGTCTCAACATAGGAGCACAACAAGCCAAGGCGCTTACAACGACTGCACGACGGCCTTCCTTCATCGCATCTTATCTTGCGCTCTCGACAAGCCAAGCAAACCTTGAAATGTAGTGTTAGCAATGCTCCGTTCTAGCTGGAAAGTCTTTGGGAAAAAGGCAGGCAATACATTGATGGCTTGTCGCCTCGTCGTCTCACGTTGTCGGTTCCCTGGGGGAATATCCATGACATAGTAAGTGACTCTAGAAACAGGTCGTCAGCAGACATTGATTATACGGGACTGGAATGGAATGGGGCTGTTAGCGGGTGGATTAGTCATCATTCAGAACCAACCATACATAGCCGTAATTAGTCCACGGAGATCACACTCTCTTCAGCTTAGCTTCAATACATCACCTTATGTCGTAATTACTAGTGGACTGTTAGCCTATCCGCACGTGATCGTAGGTACGGGCGCACGCTGTGCACTAACAAACCCAATACCTGCTCTGGACTCGCTTGATATGGAATGGAAACATCACAGATATAGTGGGCGTAGAAAAAGCTCTATAACTGGGAATATTTCTCAATTTCTTTTCCTCATATTTCTGGTTGCGTTCTTCTAGTGAAATTTCCGGGATGTTTGACCATGCAGACCGCTCGCAATCGCAGCTAGGCATCATTCTACCGCCAGACAAGCTTTCTCTCCATCGGGTTTCACTATGAACATTTGTGAGCCGCCTTGAAGAGAGATCCGAGAAGTCTCTATGCCAAGTTGCTTGAGATTTAGTTGCACGATGTAAACAGACTTCTATTATCAAACCTAATCATATATTTGCAAATTTGACTTGCAGGTTTATGGAGCAACCATCCAAGCGATCGATCAAAGTGGGTAAAAGATAAGATGGAGCTCATCGGGCCCTACAAAGTTACAAGAAGGCTGAATTCAATGGAACTTTGCTTCAAATCCAATTCCGGGAGGCCGCATGGGGTTGACCTCTCGCTTTTGCTCAGTCTGCCGGAGATGCACGTTATTAAACAGTCATAATCGTCACACCAGCAGGAGACTACTAATTAGATGTAAGGCTCAAGAAACAGTCACTAAGGTACAGCGGATTTCTCAGGCTTTTGAGATGAACAGAAAGAGTACTACATAACGGAAACAATTTGGTAACGTATCCTGGATTTTGTGACGACTGCTAGATGTAATATCAAGTACAAATCGCTCAGTCGTGAGGACATAAGTGGCAGATACAAAGTCATGATTCCTCGTTCCCTGGAAATCCATCCCATCGGAAAACCTGGCAACAAAGATAGATGCCCCTTTATTAGTGCTTGCAAAATCGGCATTGAACTTGACCTTCTTATGATCTAGATGATCGGGTACAAAGTGCGCATTGAAGGTGACTGGGCTGTCCTTGCGAAATACTTCATTGGGGCTCACAGCCTTACAATTTGTAGGCAAGCTGATGGGGAGGCGAGGCAACAATTCCGGCGGACCGTGAGGCAGCCATGGCAGCCTACAGCAAGCCAGTGAGAGGGGAAAACGCCTAGTATGGAATCCAGTTTCCGGCATTCGGCGGATTTAAGCTGTGTGATTCGCCGCGTTTTCCGCCGAGTGGTCGTATCTCGGGCTCGGTCTTACCATAGAAACAACCAAGCTGCATAGCAACTTAGCCTTCTTGATTTCCATACCAGAATCTGCTCACAATCTGACTTTGGAACACTCCGTGTGCAACAACTTCCGCTGCTTCATATTGTAAAAATACTCTTTAGTATCCTGCATACCGAGTCTCTCATGGAATCCAAGAAGCTTGCTGTCGATCCGGGACACGGATATTCCGTGAAGTTCGAGGATTCATAATCGCGTCAGCCTGACTCACGTACTGCACCGGGTGCTGTGACAATTTGGGACTACCCAGGCCTTGAAAAGGACACCTTTTACGCGTTTGCCTTCTATGCTCACCTTACCCGGAGGACTATTAGTGCTCTATCACTTTCCAGCCATCCTCTAACACATGACGTGACGCGCGCCTTTCTTGACCGACTGGCAGATTGCTTTGCTTGGACCAAGCTCTCTGAAGAGACTGCGGAAAATGTTACTGCCACCGCTATTTTGAAGGGTGATCAGGAGGAGAAATGTAAAGTCTTGATTGCCAAAAAATATACTTCACCCTCCAAAGAGGAGGTTTTCGCTAAAGAATTCTTCTCCTGGCTGAATTCACCAACAACATCGACGACTTCGAAAAGAGAGCCGAGCCGGGACGACGAATTTTGACGATTTCTGGTTATTTCCAACAAGAGTCGACTTAAGCACTACATCACGTAGGTGCTTGATGCTTCTGAGGGCATTTCGGAGGAATTCCGACGCCCGGACGACTGGCATCTCATTCAAACCGACATTGCCCAGTGTGAACAGCACGACTTCGCAGAAGACCGCATACGGAAGTTAGGTAGATGTGCTGAACTGGCCTTAGAGGCCCATCGCGATGTCCATTTCCGCGATCTTCGCAACGCAATTGAGCGTGACCGCCAGCGCAATCGCGGGCATGGGCCTCTCTCCGGTCACTTATTAGATGCTACTCATGAGAACACTTCAGTCGATGATCTTCTTGTTGGGATACTATTTCTGGGCCATCTGCGTTCTAGCTATGATTACTTCCTTAAATTCCGAGATAAAGAAAGCGCCATA